AAGACACAAGCAGGTTGAGAGGTGGCTGGGCTTTGTCCTCAGCAGATGGTGGGGTTAAGGCCCAGCTCAGTGTGTGCTAGCTGTGCAACTGTGTGGGCTCTGCCTTTAGAATAGACTCTTAATCCAGCCACTTGTCACCATTTTTCACCCCTGCCACCACCACCTGAGCTCGACCCTCTATCACCTAACTGCATGAACCCAGCAACGGTCTCAGTGCTTCCACTTTGCCAACCATAAGGTCATTTCTCCATGCATAAGCTGAGTGATCCTTTAAAAATGTAAATTAGGTCAAGTCACTCCCCAGCTCAAAAATTGTTGCACTTGGGATGAAACCCAGACCACAGTGCTCAAGGGTCCCCATGGCCTGGCCCTGACTGTCTGTCTGGACTCCAGTCCTGCCACTGCCCCCCAGTGACTTGGCGTCAGCCGACCTCCCTTCTTGCTCTCCCTTGAACCTGACATGTTCATCTCCAGCTCAGAGCTTCGGTACTTGGGGTGCCTTGGAATAGGGAGCGGTCGTTTCTTTACCTGCCGAGCTCAGTTCAGCTGACAGCTTCCTAGACGTGCCTTCTTTGAAAACCTAATCGGAAGCAGTCCCTGACCCTCTTCTAAGCCTCCACCATCCCCTCACCCTCTTTCTAAATGTCACTCATCATTGTTGGAACAACTCTACCGATTTAGTGACTGACTTATTCCTTGCTGTTTCAACTCCTACAGTCGCAGTGGCAGGAAATCTGTTTTGTTTATTCTTGTATCCCTAGGACTGTGAATGGGAGGCATTTACAAATGTTAAATGAAGGAATGAATGGATGAATAAATAAACAAATGAAAAGGCGTGCTGTCCCTTTACTTTATTTTTGATTTCTTTTTTGTTTGTTTTTGCTTTGGGGGGGAGGTAATTAGGTTTACTTATTTATTTTAATGGAGGCACTGGGGATTGAACCCAGGACCTCCTGCTTGCTAAGCACACTACCCCTTGAGCTATACCTCCCCCGTTTACTTTAAACTAATGTGCTTGCCCTGGGCTAAGTGGTCTGGAGAGAACAGGTGTCAAGGAAACTGCGTTATCAGAAGGCTTCTAAACTCTCTGCCCTATGGCGATAGGGACTATGTCTGTCTCCTTCTCCCCTGTGTCACCGCGACCAAGCTCAGTCTAACTTCACGTGAATGAAATGATCAATGGAAGATGAAAAGACTTGGGGTAACAGACACAAGCGATAGCACATAGATGAACACCTGCTGCATCTGAGGTGACTTCTAACTTGTTTGCTCTTTTTTTAGACACAATTTAACACGTGTCACCATGCACATCTTAGTCTGGTATGCAGCAAACCCCTGTAATTGTCAACTTTAGTAGCCCCGGCACTTTTGGAAACGTTTCTAAGCAGAGACATGTCGTAAAAGAATGGGCTACTTTGGAACTATTCCAAAAGATTATTCTCCTGGTATTAGAATCATAGAATGGGAAATAGTGATCCTTGGGAAGGGAAGAGTGTAACTCATGACTTTGTAGGTAGGGATGAAGTCCGCGGGCCTTCAGGCACAGGGAATCGATCCCTGTGGTGTGGGCATGACATTTGTGAATAGAAAGCAGTCTTGAATATATTCCAGGAGGTGTCTATTGGGTGAAGCCTTCGATCTTTGTTGAAGGTGAAGAAACGTTTTGTTAGAGGGTTAATGCCCCTGCCTCCACTAGTCTCATTTCTGAGTTCTATAATTTTCAAGAGGTGTCTCAGTTGGATTTATTTCAAGGGTTCATTTCACTCAAAGTCTCCCTAATCTGAAGTCCTTGTTCTCAGAGCACCTACAGTTTTCTCTGTCAGTAACTTGGAGAAGTTTGGGGCCTAAGAGTCAAAAATTGTCACTGCTTTAGTAACCACCTGTCTATCAAATGGAAGCAGAGGTGTGGATATGCAGGTTCCTAGGCAGATAGAAGGCTGGGACCCAGAGAATCCGTCATTACCGTTATCTGCTTCTTGTGTCAAGAAAGAGGCAGAAGAAAGAGAATTCCCCATATTCCTTCTTAAGAATTATGTCTGGGTTCTTCTGGAAAGGGAGTTAAGGCACATATGTAAACCGAAAAGAAATGAAAAATCAAGCTACTTTTCAAAATAGAGGAGAGAGTTGGTAGGTGTCCTAGTGAAAGGCGCTGAGAAGATGTGAGTCTGATTTTAAAGACGTGCATTTCTTGAGCACCTCCTATGCACCAGAGTTTGGGCTTTCTCCTGACCACGGTCCTTTGGGGCTGGTGCCGTTTTCCTCATTTTATAGCTAAGTGTGTGATGCCAAAGCCCTTCTCTTTTTCACCATCCCAGCTGGCTGCTCTGGCACTGATTCACCACTTGGATCCTTTAGCTGCAAAGAGACTGATGAGGCCCTTTTGCTCATTGTCCTGGACAGACCCAACCTCTGATGTCTGGACTCCATGGAAGAGCAAACTGGGGCCATCTCTGCTCTTTGAAATGGTCCCTTCCTCCCATGCTGTCTCTCCAAGAGCCCTTTCCGCAGCCTTGTGGTGTGAGCTGGAACATGGCAGCTGCATGTTCTCAACACGTCCACCACGGGCCAGTTTTAGGAAGCTGCAGAAACCAGTGGTTGTGTGCTGAGAACCGCAAACCCTGGGCAGCCCCTGCCAGTTTTCAAAGTATAAGGTCAGACTTGGAGCAGAATCCCTGTGGCCTCCACAAATAGATGGGGAGCAATTGCCTGTCATTTGAAGGTGCCGCTCACACATTCCAAGACCCAAGCCCTCATTCCTCCTCTGGGAATTGCATTCTGGCTGGCTTTCAGATTTAGTGAAAGAGTTTCTTGTTTCTGAGAAGCAAGGGGGTGGGAATTCACTAGGCTTCCCTGTCATTCGAAAGGCCCAGCCAAGCCAGCTGCCAGGCACAAGTGAGCAAAGAAGATAGCTACTTCTGAAAGAGGGGCATGGGTCCCACTCAGTGGACAGCAGCACAGAGAGGTGAAGTATCTTGCCCGTGGTCACAGAGCTATGACCAGAATCCAGGTCCCTCCTATTCTTCGTTGCCTTTCATTTGGTATATCCATCTCAGTGTGGCCTTAATTCAGCTCCATCCATCAGCATCTGACCATTCTCTCAATCACAGGCCCCCATTTCTATCTATGTGCTGTGTGGCTAACCAGCACCTGAAAATTCTTATTCATACTCACACCCCAACTTTGTGACTCACCTTTCTGTCTTCCTTTTTTTTTTAGTGCTTCTATTTCTTTTTTTATAATATCACTGTATTTTAATTTTATTTATTACTATTTTGGGGGGGTGGGGGAGATAATTAGGTTTATTTACTTACATATTTATTTGATGGAGATACTTGGAATTGAACCCAGGACCTCGTGCGTGTTAGGCACACACTCTACCACTGAGCTATACCCTCCCCTTCTTTCTTTTTTTATTTTTTAAAAATTGAAGTATAATTGATTTACAATGTCGTGTTAGTTTCAGATGTACACACACATATATAACTATTCTTTTTCAGATTCTTTTTTACTGTAAGTTATTACAAGGTATTGAATATAGTTCCCTGTGCTGTAAGTAGGTCCTTGTTGTTTATCTGTTTTATATATAGTACTGTTTATCTGTTAATCCCAAACTCCTAAATTATCCCTCCCCTCCTTCCCCTTTAGTAACCATAAGTTAGTTTTTTATGTCTATGAGTCTCTTTCTGTTTTGTAAATAAGTTCATTTGTGTCTTTTTTTTTTTAAGATTCCGTATGTAAGTGATATCATATGATATTTGCCTTTGTCTGACTTGCTTCACTTTGTGTGATAATCTCTGAGTCCATCCATCTGTTCTCTATTTTTGTTAATGGGTCCTTCCTGGCCATCCTGCCTGGAAGCCGCGTTCACCTTTGGCACGTCCCTTTCTGTTCCCCCGCAGTTTCCCTCGGCTGTGCGCCATACACATTCTAATCCACACTCTTGCTGTCACCTAGCCCAGAGCAGTCTCCTTATTGTTCTTTGTCTTTTTTCAAAAAAATTCTTTATTAAATCTCTTTTAAAAGTTATGAAATGGCATATGCATTGTGCAACTAGCAAAATAATAGGTACATAAATTAATTAAGGAAATAAGAAATACAGGAGAGAGAGACAGAGGTCAAGTCCTCATCCCTCCTCCCTCTACCTCCCTCCTTCCTGCCTCACCGCATGTTGATAATTTGGTGCACATTCTTCCGGACCTTTCTCCTGCGCACACAAAAACAGAATAGACCTATTTGCATATAGTATTTTTCGTTTGCTTTTCCAAGAATAGTGTCGTGTTTTGCACATTGGTCTGCACTTTACTTATTTTATCTATTTCAGTTTTACATGTTCAAGATACAGCTTTAATCTGTGTCAAAGGTAGCTGCACAGTAATCCACAGTGTGGCTGTATTGTAGTTAATTAAATCCTGTCCTGTGTTTGGATATTCAGGGACTGGGCTAGACATTTTCTGTTTGCCTCTCCAGACACCCTCTCCACGTTTTTCTGCCCCTCTCCATACCCTGGACCTGTCTGGGCTGCACTGATACATCCTTTGCCCTTGGGCTCCTGGCTGGATTTAGTTCACGTGGCACCACTAGGAGATTGGAGGGAGGGTGGGCAGTGAAGTCAGGGTCTCCCCCCACCCCTGATTCCTTTCTGCTGGGTTACAGTGGAGTGGCTGCGTGCCTCTGCTGGAGGTCCCAGGTCCTGGCAAGGCGCCCTCTCTACTCAGCTGCCCTCTTCAGCCTCCTTGAGCCCAGAGGTGGGATGGCTCCCTGCTGTTCAGTGGGGCCTGGATGCTGTGCATCCATTTAATCTCTCTAAATCCTGCCCACGCTTTGTTAAATAATCCCTTTGTTAAACTCTCTTTAATAATCCAGTCTGAGGATTCCATCTGTCTCCTGGCATCTTCAGCTGTAAAGGTTGTTTCTTTTTTTTTTCCCCTGCCACTTGTTACTACGTTCTGACCCCTTCTGTCCTTTATCTCCAGCGTGACCATTCTGTTAGCTTTGTATTTTTTTTTTAAACCTGGAGATTGTATTTCACTTATTTCCTTAAAATCCTTCCAGAGCTCCCCAGGACCCTTGGGGTAAAGGGCAAACCCGATAACTAGCCATTGTTTGCATCCCCTGTTCCAGGATCTTAAGCATAAGGGACCCCACCCATTTCCAAAGTTTCCCCCTGAAATGCATTTCTTGAATTGGTATATTTAGTTTTCCCAGTGACTGATTATGTGATGCCAGACCCTGTGCCAACCCCCTTAAGCTTCCATGTCTTCTTCAACTTATGGGGGATAATAGCAGATAATTCATTTCATTGAGGGGTTAATAGAACAGAATGTACGTAAAGCTTCTAAGGAGTTTCTGGCATGTAAGAAACATTCAGTAAATGCCAGTTATGAAAGAATGGCTCCCCACTCTCATCAGAATTGCCTTTGACCATACCTGTCTGTCCAGGTCAGCCGTTTTCTCAAGACCCACCTTGACGAATCTCTGTAGACCCTTTGATTTCTACCAGAGAATTTTCCTCCCATTTCTCTCTCTCTTAATTAATAAACTTTGCTTTTCAGAGCACTTTTAGATTTACAGAAAAATTGAGCAGAAAGCACTGAGAGCCCCCGTACGCTCACTCCCTTCACCCTAAACTTTCCTCTTTTATTAACATGTTGGTGTGCTAGACATTTGTTACAACTGATGTACCCACATCGATAGGTTATTAACAGGAAGTCCACAGTTTTACATTAAGATTTGCTTTTCTTTTGGTCACTTCTTTGAGTTTTGACTAGTGCATAATGCCTTGTATCCCCCATTAGAGTATCTTATGAAATCATTTCACTGCCCTGAAAACCCTCAGTGCTCTGACTGTTGGCCTGTTCACCCCCAACTCCCCACCTCCCCAGACCACTGATCACTTTACGTCAATAATTTTACCCTCTCTTTCTACTTCACCTTACTCTTTGTGTTCATGGCTTATTTTTCCTACTGTTGTCTTCGCGTTCACCGAACATCTCCACAGCCAGCAGTCACACAAGAGTACCTTTCAGCAATGAATTATTAAACCTCTTCATCCCTAGACTCAAAGCCTGGTTGAAATTTCAGGCACTCCTTTTAATGAAATGGGCTCTGGGCTTTTGCACAGGCTGTTGGGCTAATGGGACACAGGATCCCTATAGAACGTAGCTGGACCCAGTTTCCTAGTCTGTGTGTGGACAGAGAGCTTTCACCCACAGCACATGAAACTGGGGCCTAAAAGGAACAATGCAAAACAAAACCAAAGCCCCCAAATAATAAAACACAAACCTGTTATATAAATCCAGACCAAAGATGGCCATGAATCAGATCGCTAAAGCACTGACTTTTCTTCAGTGTACATTCTGATTCACACTCTGGCTCTGAGCAACACACTTCTCAGGCACCCTGTATATAACAGTAATAGCTCCCTTACATTGGTACTGCAATTTGGATTCACCTTTAATGGGACATCTATGTAATCAGAGCGATGAAGTGGAGGCGGGAGCACGATAGTGGAATTAGCAGTGGTAGTGATATTTGTCATGCCTGCCACTTAGGGAGCTTTTTCTAAGTGCCCAAGCCTGCATCCTGCTCTTTAATTCTCACAGTAGCCCTGCGAGGTAGGCGTTATTTTCTGTACTTTACAGACACATGAATGGGTCTTTCTAGAGAGCTATACCTTCACTCAGCTGAGGAAGCTGAGGCCCAGAGATGGATCAAGTCACTTGCCCAAAATCACACCGTAAGTGAGCAGCAGAGATGCCGATGCAGCTCTGACTTCCAGACTCCCTTGGGCGGTACCTAAATTCTGAATGGCTGAATGTGGAAACATGGTAGTAAATGCAACTAAATTTTTAAGCTGTGATACGAAAGACATAGTTAGTTCTCTTACTTTTTCCAGGACTATAAACATCATATTCTTTCAATCAGTATGGAAACTTAAAATAAATGTAGCCCAAATAGCAGAGGCAGAGGCCTGTCCCCTTGTCCTGTGAAGCATAGTTCACATCCATGTCCCATCCTAAGGTGGTGGAAATCCACAGTCCCTCCCAGTGTTTTCCGGAATGGTTGTGGGCCCCAGCCTGCTTTGAACCTTGAACTCTCAGCCATGCCTCACCTTGCTTGGTTCTGCTTTGCCAACTTAGGTTGAAAACTTGACCTATTTTTCTTGACTCACTGCCCCCATCAAAAAAAAAAAATTTATGGCTGGTTTCCATTCAAGCAGCCACTTTTCCATTTTTCCCTCCTGAGAGCCCAGTTAAAGATGTAGCCAGTGTTTTTCTGTTACCCAGATTTGGCACTTCCTATTTAAAAAAATTTTTTAACAACTTTATTGTGACGTAATTTATGTGCAGTAAACTACACATATTTCAGATGTACAATTTGATGAATTTTGATAGATGTAGACACCCATGAAACCACCACCACAATCAACATAGCTAACATTTCCATCACTGCCCAAGTGGTACAAATTTCGAATTCCCAATTTATCCCTTCCCATCTCCTTTACCCGCTGGTAACCATAAATTTGTTCTCTATGACTGTAAGTCTATTTCTATTTTGTAAATAAGTTCATTTGTGTCTTTTTTTTTTGATTCTACATATAAGTGATATCATATGGTATTTTTCTTTTCTTTCTGGCTTACTTTACTTAGAATGACAATCTTCAGGTTCATCCACGTTGCTGCAAATGGTATTATTTTATTTTTTATGGCTGAGTAGTATTCCATTATACACGCACGCGCACACACACAGGTACACATATATACACACGCACACACCCATCCATCTTCTTTATCCAGTCATGTATTGATGGACATTTATGTTGTTTCCATGTCCTATTTGCTGATCAGGCATCTGTGCTCTCACACTAGACTTACCGCGATCTGCCTCCCTCCCCCACATCCCCAGCCTTCTGACCCAGTGATTCTCCATGATCCCCAGTGACTTCCTCCCTCACTGTGTTGCCCAGTACCTGGGAGGTCCCTGTGCCTCTGCTTGGGGCCCTGTTCTTACTTCTGACAAGCCCGGATCAGCCCCTGTTGGCCCGGGTCAGCCCATGTTTCAAGTGCAGGGTTGCTCTTCCTGCTGCTACGTTAGCTCATTCTAGGTGGTTCTGGAAGGCGGCACTAAATGACACTGAACCACAGTGTGAAGACTTTGGTCCCCTTTGTAATTCTTTTTCTAACCTTCTGAAGAGATCCAGGAAGAAGTCTCAGGGTGGTGCTGCTCTGTCTTGAACACCCCCTGACGCTTGGTAATCTTCTTTCTAACAGAGGTAGCAGATCTGGGCTCATCTTTCAGAACCCATCCTTCGGAGGGCAGCAAAATGTAGCCAGAATTTCATGATGTTTTTACTGTATTCATTCCTAGGTTTAGTGTCTGGTTTTGGTAAGTGACA